GCAGGTGGGAGGGGTGAGATGGAAGGCGGAGGCTTGTTGTGACTGCCCCTTTATCAGCTGATATATATGCATGAGGATTTCCTCATCGTGTTCTGCCATCCCTCAGATATTTGACTGACAGCTCACATCAACACCAATAAACCCACACATCATTTCAGGACAGCTGCCCATCGTGCTGAATTGAGGGTAGAAGTGGAGCAAAAAAGTTAATTTGTTTTTCTGGTGGCTGCCGGTGGTGATAGCGTCCATGTCTGTTCGCTTCCATGGCAAGGCTGTAAATTAGAACTGTGCCTCAATGAAAGCTGCTGCTGCTGTGTGAAAGCTCATTTTCAACAATGGCAAAAAATACTTGGCAGCTTTTTATATTTAGGGCACTGGGAGTCTTGCGGGGAGCAAATTGTGCAAACATTTAAATTATGAAAAGGAAAAAGAAAGAACTGTCAATTTGAGACTATTCTTTCCATGTGAAGGGTGATTAGCTGCTTGCTGGTAACAATATTCCAATATTATGGTACATTTTGGAGGTGAAGGCTGCCTTAGAAATCGTACTGTAATGGCAGGTGAACTTGAGAACCACAATGGCTTCAAAAATAAAAAGTGAGCAAATGTACAAACATCTGCAGAAACCTATGCACAATGTATATTCAATGTATATCTTCACACAAACGCACACAGATATACCCACTTTGAGGTTTCTCTAATTGCTGATTTAACCCTCTGTGGGATTTGCATGATTGCTGTCTCCATTTCAATCATTCCAACCAGTTTTACATGTACAAGTGAATGACTATGGTCTGAAAGGCTGTACAGTTCTTGGGAATGTATTTAAGGCAGTCAGATTAGTCAGACAGCAGTGTGCTCAGAAAAGTGTTGCTAAGAAAGTGATTTGTGGTTTCACATACATTATTTATGAAAAGATAAAGAGATGAATAGAGAGGAAGTGAGAGAGAGAGCGATAACACTTATCCACAAGAGACAGGTTTGTCCTGTGTGCAAAATGTATGGCCTTATGCATATTTTACAAAAGAGAAGACTAACACTATTAAATACTCTGCACTCCATATCAGCGCCACTAACAGCCCTTAAATGCCAGATGAGATGATGGATCAAAGAAATCCACCTGCAGTGCATTAACCATCGTTGGGATTAGGTAATGCACCTTATTTTACTTTACCCCCATCACAGCTTAGAGTCACTGCTAAGACACCCACACAAACATGTCAGAGGGATTCTGGTATGCCTCCCAACACTGCTGACAACCAGAGTCTGTTCAGATAGTTGCCTACATCTATCCTTCCTTCCTTTCCTTTGCTTGTCTTATTCCTGTTCTTATGTGTGAAGCTACAACACTTTTAAGATTTTCCCATGTTCAACGAAAGAGAATTTAATGCCATAGTGATAGGTTTTACTTGTCTACTTTGTTTAGAATAAATACAACAGTAAGTGGCTAGTTAGGGTGTCACAAGCAGCCATTTCCATCATGGACACTTTACAAGATGTAATCAAAGGAATAACATGCCTTGTTCTTGTTAAATAGGCAAGGGATCTCTGGGACTTCACAGAGTCCATACTAGCACACTTAATTGTGGAACATCATCAATGTGTGAATTCAAGCAGGACTCAAAACTCATTTTGTCTAATGTAGCCTGGTTCAATCAGACAGTTCATTCAAGGACAGAGAGATGATCTGGGAAATAACCATTCAAGTATGGAAGGTTGAATAAAGAGATTAAAAAAAAGTAAAAAAAATTAAAAAAAGACAGCAGGACTTTAAAATAAAGTAAAAAGGGCATGTAAGAAATAAAAAGCAGTGGAGAGGGGGGCTTATTATGAAACGGCAGAAGGACGGGAGCAAGGGCTCAAGGAAAGGGAATGAGGGGGTAGAGTGCACAATAACAGCACTAATCCATCTGAAGTCATCTTGCAGTGGGCCCCTCCAGTTTGACAACAAGGCTTTGGTTCTGTAGAGTACAGCCCACCAGTGACTACCTTTTATACCTTTCAACCCTGCACATCCTGCTGCTCTGCGATAGGATAAGAGCGGAACGGACTGCGCTAACTGGCTTGCTTCCCTGTCGGATTTCTTCAGGGTTGCAAAACAGAGAAGTGGGGGAGAGGATATATTATGTTGTATGTGGATTTGTAAACAGTGGATCAAAAGGTTGGCTTTCACATCCCTTAAATTGGTGGAGGGGCGTTGGTGTGCTGTCACAGTGTGCTGACAGTGACAGCTAAACAACGATCCTGACTGACTGAGTGACTGATGGGACACGGAACAGACGGGATGTGTCAGTGCCCAGCAGGGCTGGTAGGGCAGTTGAGCAATGACACACCCAGTGACAGATGGCAATACAGAATAAACAACATAAAGACACACACAGTTTCAGCTGCACGCCAAGTGTCACTTGGGAGCGGCACTCACTTAATGACACAATCAGAGGATGAGTCACAAGCTATATCCTTCAAGCCCTGACCTCCCGATTAAGTCATGTTGGATCAGACCATAATGTGTCTAATCCTCCCACAAAAACAAGATGAAGTATGAGCTCAAGCATGAGCTGCACACACAAGAATTAACGCCACGATCAACTTCACAAGGCTGAGAAACTTATAAATATCACTTTGTGGGGTAGAGTAGGAGAAACTTCAGCCTTAACTTTTGGACGAAATAATATTTTGGCAGAAGTTTTATTACATTCAAAAAGTGTAGTGCAAATATCCTTGTTTGATGAAGACATCTGAAACCCCTGACCAAGTTAACCTCTTTGTTCTACAAGAAAATGTGGCTGGGAAAAAACAGCTTAGCAGCCCAAGTTTCAGTGTTAGTCTTTCTGTGGACTGTCAGTGACGCAGCCCCTGAGGCTACGTTCCAGGCAAAGACTTCACCACTGTCTGCTGAATGCAGACAAGACAGGCAGTCAGCCTCTACAGGGGAAGGTCTGAAGGGCTCTGCCATTTGTCTTGGCTTATTTAGCAATCAGGGAGACAAGATGTGAACAGGGCTTTCAGAGCACAGTGATGAAAACGGGGAGAAGCTACATCTGTGGCGGGCTCATTCCAGAGAAACGTTTTAACACTTCTGGCAGATATAGCTCAAAATTCCATTTTCATGTCTGCATTTCATCTAGAATTTTGACTATACAGTGTCCTGATTAAACCAATTAAAGAACTTTGTAAGGACAACCGGTAAGTATAACAGCTTTAATGTCAAACTAAACAGGATGAGTGTCAGGACCTCTGGCCTGTTATTATCGCATAAACCAGTTTCTTGAAGACCATATAGGTGTAATCATATGTAACAATTAATCTCCACATTTCATTAAAATCATACCAGTAAAGACAAGAGCTATAAAATAATGCTCTTCATATAAAGAAGATCACATTTAGATTTACCAAGAAAAAAAAAAGTCACAACAGGTCACTTCATACCCAGCTGTTTGCAACGTTGCCGCCAAATCAGCTTGTTCTAGTGCAGCTAAGCTAAATATTTATGGCTGCTGAAAGGACAGGGCCGGCTTCCAATGTTTGTTGTGCACACACTTTCACAGCGGAGGTACATTGAGGTCATATGCTTATAATTTGCCCTTTTCCTAATGCTGCCATTGGAGTAAAATAACATTTGAGAGCTGCAATTAGATTGAACAGCGCAATACTCCAGATAATTAAGTCATATTTCAAGTTCAATAACGATCAAGCTGGCCAGATAAACGCCAGGGAAAGAAAGGCTTGTGTGTGGTGCAACAATCTGGAATCTTTTTACAATGCTCACTTCTATTGTTGAGCTAAAAATGCACTTAGTGTCTGTGGACAGATGAGCGGTGGGCTGGTTTTGAGTGGTTCTGCCCAATTCAAAAGGCTGAGTTTGCAAATGAAAAGAATAAGAAGGAACGTCTATGTCAAGGAGAGAAGGAGATAAGACTTGGGAGGTACCTAAAACAGAGGTTTCAAAATCAACTGAGGTTTGCCAGAGTGGGTGCAGTCTTCATCTAATTTAATTTTATTTAGGTAGGAAGTGCCTGTTTTAGGTTATATGGATATCATTACATTATTACTGATGATTTTGTTATTGTACAAACAAATAACCCTTTTTTGTTACAATCAGAGAGCGAAATGGAAAGAGTATAACAAGAAGGAAAAGAGAAACAAAAAGCTCAACATATAGACAGAGAAATAAAAAAACTGAAATGCTACTGTGTGTTTGTGGAGTGTAGATTCAGACATTTCCTTCCAACATTCATATAAACACAGTCTGTCACACAGCCAGCAGTATCAGCTTATACATATTTTCCTGGTTCTGCTGTAGAGAAACAGTAAAAACCTGATGTGTGGAAATGTTTAAGACCCCAGAAGACGATGGTGAGTTCATTTTATTCAAGAAATTAAACACTAGGTTTCTGACATGTTCCTATATGTACAGCACATCTGCTTCTTTGTGTGTGCCCTTCATCCCGCCCTTCCTATCCCTACCCTGCTCTCCACTTCCAGCCTTACCGTGTGAACATCGCTTCCATTACCGCCTTTGACACTGTGGCCGATTGGATTCTTATCTGCCATCTGTAGGCCGACACTTGGCGCGTGCTATCTCTCGTCGCAGCCTAATTGAATCTCAAGTGCTGGAAGTGCAGTGATACACTGACCACACCGTGTCACTGCCAATAGATAAGGATTGCTGTTGGAGGATTGGGCCGCCACAATCATGATAGGGACATGTTGATAAAGAGGTGACAAGCGCTTTGGGTTGGGTACTGTGTTGGTGGAACTTGGCTTGGATTGAAAGATAATTGATACCCTCCATTACCGAGAAGGTTGTGTTCGTACCCAGTAATCCAATATCCCATAATCCTGCTGTGCAGAGGGTAATTTGTTCAAGTCTCATTGGCTGCACTGGTTTAGCTCACATTTTTCTTGTTGAGCAGGTAAGGTTCTGACCAATCAAAAAGAGCCTAAAAGTTTAAGAAAAAAAACAAAAACTTACAACATTACTGACTCCTGATTCCTACCTTAAGAGTCCAAATCCTTTCTTTTTGGTCTTCTTCTCTGGATCCTCCACAGAATCATCTGTGTTTTTCTTCCCTTTTCTCTTCTTCTGTTTCTTCTTCTCTTTGGTTTTCTCCTTCTTCTTCTTTCCACTGTCTGCATCCAGGCCCTGGTAAGAGGAGCCGCTGGCGGGTGTTTCCTGACCAGAGCTTTGCTCTGACACATCGTCATCTGAGGGGGGTAAATGATTCATATGACTAAACATATGGGTGTGAGGGCAGAGGTCGCAGTGGGTGCACAAACATAGCTGGAATATATACATACTCATAAATGCAGAATGCATTACATTTACTATAGCATTTCAATTACTACTGTAGAGATATCTGTTCAGTAAGCTAGTCTTCTATTACATAACCTTTTTCCCAGTGCAGGGGGCTGGCCAGAGGTTTGTACTGCATCTACACCTGGATGTGTTATAGTGGCAGTTATATAAATACATTTTCACCTTCATACTATAGGCAAACCCAAGAAAAAAAACTAGGCCCAAAATATTCTCATTTTTCTGTTTAAGATATAAGAACATAAAAAAGACATTTATCATTTTCATTTTGTGTCAGTTGCTATTAGAGTCTGACATATACTACATCAGTAGATAGATAATGGGGGCGGCTGTGGGTCAGGAGGTAGAGCGGGTCGTTTCCTAACTGGAGGATTAGCAGTTCGATTCCCGGCTTGTCCAGTCAACATGTCGAAGTGTCCTTGAGCAAGACACTGTACCCCCAGTTGCTCCCGGTGATGTCCCTGGTGTGTGAATGCGTGTGTGTTTGGGAGTGTGAATGGGTGAATGGCCAAATAGCGTGAAAGCGCTTTGAGTGTGCTGTAAAGCATAGAAAGGCGCTATACAAATATAAGACCATTTACCATTTACCATAATGTTTCACACTCCTGATTCTTCCAAGCATCATAATGCAACATTCAGCATGAAGTCAAAATAATATGCAGTCATCATGCACACACAACATCCCACATCCCTGGGTTCGGGTCACCAGCTAAAGCATTAAAAATATGCTGCTGTAAGATATAAAGTTGTTCTTCCTAAATTGCTGAGTGGATACAATCATGCAGCATTTCATTAAGGTACTTAGGCTAAGCACTGTCCCCTGGCAGGCCTCTGGCTCTTTTTGAGTGCCAGTGTGTCATAAAGCCTAAGGGATGTGCACTGGCAGTGTAGTGTCTAATTTAAAATGGATACAGTGTCTAGGAAAGAATGTTTTATTATAGCAACAGTGAAAGTTTTGCTGTGCCTCTTTCTTGATGGCTGCAGCAGTTCTACAGTTCATGATTTTACATATCTAATAAAACTGTAACCAAATTTGTGTTAAAATGCTAATAATAAAAAGTCTTACCATCCTCAGAAGGCCCATCATAAGACTTGTCGATAGCGTTACGGAAGCTCTGGTTAACTCCCCGCCCTCGGACCATGTGCGGTCGCGGGTGATGAAAGGGCATCTGGGATTGGATGTGACTCTGCCTGACTTCAGACATGGCCGTCTGGAGGCTCTCCAGGGAGCTGGACTTCCACAGGCCCAGAGTCAGGCCCACCGCTCCGCCCTCTGAAGGCTCTAAGAGACAAAAGAGATGAGAGGGATCAGGTTTTTTGGAATGAAGCTCAAAAATACTGTAGAGCTATGAAGATGAAATATAGAGAGAGTTGAAGGTAAAAAAAAACAGGCTTGAGAAAAATAAGAGGCATAAAAGAGAGGGGAAAATGACAAATGAGATGGAGCGGTATAGGTGAGGAACCACACAATGGAAACTGACAGGCTCATGCATAAGCAAGAATGAGGGGAAATAAATGAACTGCCATCATACTGTTCTCATGTATGGCCTCCAACTTGAGAGAGGAAGAAAGGGGAACATGGAGGAGCAGTTAAATGATGATGGCTAAGGCTGATTCAGCAAAGGAAAGGAGGGCAGAGGAGGGGGCACCAGGAAGAGAGTCAAAGTCTGGGAAGATTTGAGGACATACTGACCTGCGGGAAAAATAGTAAAAATGAGACAAAGGAGAAAAGAAGGTGAATGTCATGCAGAATCAGCTGCTGCTGAAGTAGAACCCACTCAACAGGCTGACCAAGAAGGGGAGGAACAAAACATTCCCACCTTGAAAAGCTACTACTCTACACACCAGCCCATTCCAGCCGTGTAACACAATGAATGGTGACAAGAACTCTTCAAAGAAGTTGAAAACAGATCGTAAGCAGCATTTTTTTTTTCTTTGTGAAACTTTCTTGTAGGGATGACTGTCTCACATTATGGCACTCAGTGCTTAAGACAGTTTTTTGTTATTTCAGAGGCTCCAAAGTGTCAAAGTAGAGCGGGGAAAATGGGAAGTGAAACTGAAATGGTGACAGAGTCGAAGGAGGGGGAAAAGTAAGCAGAGCATTTCTGCCTTTTAAGTCCTAAATTGACTTTCTGAGAGGAAGTAGGATTTATGGGGAATAAAGGGTTATAAATAGAGAGGGGGGAGCGCTGAGGAATAAAACGCTCAATTTGAGAGGCAGGATTTGTGTCACAAATGTAATTACGGCTGTCCAGCTCACAGCCTGATAGAATTAAACTCCTTGCCAGTACTGCTGCACTGTACATCGAGAAACTAAGTTTCTGTGTGGGTCCACATTTGTAAACGTAAGAATTTTGTTCCAAGTAAAAATAAAAATAAATATTTAAGTCATGATACTGCCTGTGTGAGATAGCGGTGTGTGTCCTTGACCAGCTTAGATAAAATAGGAGGAGAAATATGAGCACAATTCACTTTTGCAGGAGTGTGTGTCTGTGTATGCAGGGCTTTGAGTGTGCTCATTCCATGCATGTCAGGCAGTTGAGGCTAGAGGTAAATGAATAATGAAGGTTTAATAGGATGGATGAGCGAGGGAGAGGTGGCTATCATTGCCAGCTCGATCCAACGGAGGGTGAAATCGTCGTTTATCACATACCGCTGCCCGCTGTGCCAGCAGATGCTCTCACGGATCCGTTCGCATCATCTCTGCCTGATTGCCACCGATTCAAGCTGGTGCACATATTTGACAAACAGCCTAACAGTCAAACAGGCCAGAACGACGGGCAATGCCCTTCACAGCTGTAACACTCTCCTGTGCAAGATCCAGCAGTAGTTTTATATTATCAGTTTGGGTTTTGCTACTTTTTAATCTTACCATTATTGAGTTGTGAGGCTGTTTCAAAAGTAAGCAAAACTTTTATTCATTTTAGAGAAAGACAGTGTTAAGAGTCACTGAAAACTTGGATGTGATAAAACTTCCCACTGAATCATAACTGTTTTAGAAATAAAAAATAAAAAAAATTGTATGACACAAAAATGTTAATAAAAATACTCAGGAGATACGTCAACTCCAGAGGTGCATTTTAGTAAGAACCATTCAATTACCAAGCTTTAAAGTCTGTTAAGATAAAGATTACGCTTTGTAGACCTCTCATCATACATTTCTGGGTTCAATTAAAATGTAATCAGACCCTATTCTGTGGTGGGGGTTTTTCCTAATAGCATCAATAAAACCTGAATTTTCTGCAAAGCTCTAACTGATGTGTCTTCCGTAGTAAACACAGCTGATGCCTCGTTCATATGTACAGGTTCAAAGTGGTGGGCTCATAGTTCAAGCAGTTGAGGTGAGTTGAACCGTTCTTAATGCTTCCATCTTAAGTGTTTTATTCTGTGTAATGGGGCTTGAAGCTCATAGGGAATGCGGTGCTTAGAGCTACACAATACCAAAAAAAAAAAAAAAAAAAAAAACTAGAACCTGACATGATTAAAACTAATGACCAGAATCAATATAGCGGTAAAAGAAGAACAACTACTTACTATAAAACTAAATGAACTTATTCCACCTCTGGCAAATGCAGTACATGTCCAAAAAAAATAAAAAATACTGTTTACAATAAAGAACCTGCCAATTACCATTTTAAAATGGTGCCTGCATTCCACACTAAGCCCACACCTCTTTAAAGTATCTACAAACACAGCAACATCCACCCAAAAGCCCACACCTGCCTGCATGCTGCAGATACTTGCAAACAAACAGGATAGCACACATACCTAACCCTCAGACATCTCAGTGTGATGTGTACAATATATGGTGGCATCTGTAGAGGTTCATTGCTGTCATGTCTGTACTGAGCAAAGAGCAGTAAAGTCTTTGCCTGGAAAGTAACCTCAGGGTCCAGCTATGCTGACAGGTCCTGTGAGGGCTAACACCCCTCTGGGATGCCACTTTATATGCCTTAAAGAAGTGTGTGTGACACACCTGCAACCTCAACAAAGACCTAACTCATTCTGTAGTTTTGTCATGGGAATCAAAACATTAACATTATCAATGGAACATATGAAATGAAAAATGTTTAAATTAAAGCTCTGCCATATGTTTAGTACACATTTAATACACCAGTCAGACTTTATGTATTCACACATTCAAAATGTCCTACCACAATGTCCTACCTGTTGATACCATCCAATCACGTGGGTTGTCAATGCCAAACTATTAATCATGATACTGTCAATTTCATATAAATGAGACATTATTGTTCCAGGCACAGCATACAAACAAGCGTAAAAAATAAAGTAAATCAACAGTAAATCAAATATAATTACTATAATACTATTACAAGTCTTTAATGGGGTGTGAATGAGGACCCAAAATGAAGACAAAGGATAGAGTCAGAATTTGAATTTAAGGTGACCTTTAATGCTTTTAAGTGCAGGGAGTGGAAGAAGCTGCCTAGTGGCAGGGGGGGACGGGGGGGGGGGGGGGGGGGGGGGAGTTGCCAAGGAGACACTTTAGCCAACAGTGAAAAAGGGTTTGATGCTTTTGGTCATAGTTCTTTAAATCGGGTACAGAGAAAATGAACACACACACACACACACACACACACAGCGATCACTACAGTGCTCACAGATATGCTTAGAGAAACACACATGTAAGACACAGAGCCATGCACACACTTTTCCATCTAGTATCCAATCTCAGGACCAGCCAATAAAACCTGGAGCTGCTCTGGAGTGCAGTAAAACAGGCCCTGTCCTGCACTCGGCTATAAAAACCCACATGACATATACAAAGACACATACACACTACATACCTGTAAAAGACCGTCTTGTCTCAGCGTCAAATTTCTCAATAAAGGTTATTGAATTTAATCCAACAGAAGCATTTAACATGCTGTTAGAAGTGACAGAACATCCCCCTCCAGTGTTACAGCTTCAGTAAGAGTAAATGATTCCAAAAGGAGCCTGAATTGAAACATACAATCCTATTTTTATCCTATACATTCTCATCTCAAAAAGGTTTACAAATGGATGTAAGCTCTAGACCAACAGCATGAACAAGTCTGTCTCCCCTAACTTCCCTACCTTTCTACTCTGTCTACTGTTTTTTTCTAACACTACTCAACATTTAACAGCAGCAGTGAGCATTTACAGCACTGTGACAGCGAATGGTCATGTCACCCATTGTAACTGTGCGTCTTCTGACACAGAGGAATAAATTTAGTCAGGCTTTGGTTACAATTCATTGTTGTTTTGGTCTTTTCATGACAACTGTTGATAATGAGAAAAATACAAAGTACCACCATCTTGTTCTTGTTATTGGCTGCATAAGTATTTCCATTTGACAAGCTCAGCTTCTAACCTGATCAGTTCAGACAACAGTACAGTCAGTAAAAGTAAATCCAATTCATGTTATGGCCAATCATAACTCCAGTCCAATTAAAGCCCTGTCCAATCATTGAGCATCCCTCCATCGCTATCTGAATGCACTCAGCTATAGAGGCGGAGGATGAAGCTGGATGGAGGCGCTGCTCTGGCAGTAATTGTGTTCACTTGCTTAGATGTATGAGGAAATGGGGACATATGGGCTGAATGCATTTATCCTCCAACTAGATGAATGGCTTTAATAACTGGAGAGGACTTAAAAGGCCATTTCATAATTACTGCTTACCTCGACTGGATTACAGCAGTGTGGTGGGGGTGGCAGGGTATGAATGAGGTTGGAGTGAACTGTGTAGAGTGGGACAGGTACCATTTGTAAACACATGGCAAATAAAAGTGTTTGTGCAGCAAGGGGAAACTGTAGTGTGCATAAATTCAGATGCACACACATCTGCATGATGCTGCATGAGGCTTCACTCCGGTTTAACATTAATGCAGAAATCAGGTAGAAAGCACAAAAATGTTGAACTTGGCACAAAACTGCTTATTTCATGTCACCTCTTCACTAGCACCTATCAAATAAAGGCTAAAATGCTCCAAGCACACTAGATCCATTCAAATCCACTTGGAGTTACGCACGTTACAGTCTGATCCCAGTTTAACATGATTCTAATTCTACATTTAATCTGTTAAAAGTGAAGTTTTCATTTGTTACTTTAAACTTTTCCTTAATTTCTTTATCCATATAAGCAGAATTATAAGAGCAGAAATATAAAAAACACAGATGTTTGGACATCTGTGTGTGAGCATTATGTGCTCCCATCAATCAGTGATCAATCAGTTCAAACAGGTGCAACATGGTGTTCATTCTAAAATCAACAATGACAAACTACTGTAAATAAAACTGACTGAGGGAGGGGGGTGGAGCACAATAAGGAGGGAAGGACGGCAAGAGGTGAGAGTCACACGCTACCCAAACAAAGAGTGTGAAAACAAAGCAGAGGCTTAAGTGCTGGCTGGTTTAAATGTCTCCTTGTGAAGGGAAGAAACTATTGAAACTAACACGTGCACAGGTGGCTGTGCTTTAGGGTTAGCTGGTAGCTAGACAGTACTAAACCTTCAGACCAGAAAACGCACAGATGAAAAGAAACTGAAAACATACAAAGCAAAAATTACATCAAACAAAAACAAAACCACAAGCAAATGTAAATAGAGGTGGATGAGACTGTGATGCAGTGTTGCAGTATAATTCTCAGCACAGCCTCACTGCTTGTATGTGTGTGTATACTATGAGTGTATGTGAGTGCTGGATGAGCTCCCAGGTGTGTTGTAAGAGGGCAGCCTGCTGCCAGGGGAGATGTTAAGGAGAGAAATAGAGGGATGAATGAAGGAATATCTCTCTATTATTCTTTTGGCTGTCTGCAGGGTGTTCTCACACACACACACAAAACACAGGGGATGGAGAAGATGCTGGGCTGGGTCTGACTTTGTAGAGGAAACTGAGACTGGAGCATGTTCACCATAATCACATAAGACTGGAACAGAGGGGGGGGGCTGGCTATAACACAAAGAGAGAATAAAAAAAGAATCAGCATGTTGAGAGAAAGAGAATAGAAGTGATCATAAATAGAGAACTGGATGCAGGAGAGGAATAGGGAGGGAAAAGGAAAGCAGATGAAGGTTTTGGACTAAGAATACTAAAAATGGGGATGAGCCTGGCGACAGAGAGCAGGAGACAGAATAATCGAGAGAGAAGTGACTAGGAAAAAGCGGGAAAGTGGTAGCGAAGATGAAAGTGAAAAGAAAAAACAAAGCTCTACCGGAGATGGACACTCCTAAAACCAGAGAATCAGGAGAGAGAGAGGAGGAGTGGGAGAGTCTGGATAAGTGACAGAGAGAAAGATGGAGTGAGAGGAAAAAGAGAGCGTTAGAGGAGTGAAGTCCCCCCTGCAGCGACTCCAGCCAAAGAGACAAAGGGTTTTAGCCAGATTAAAGAAGCCAGGCAGGCCTCTTAAGACCATCCGCCTAATGAAATATGTCAAAGCCCATAAAGAAACAGTGAGGCCATTTACTAAGGGAGGGCTGGGTGAGGCAAACACGCTGTGTCAGCAAAAATTATTAAAAAAAAAAAAAAAAAAAAAAAAAAAAAAAACAAACCCTCAAAAA